CCCGCGCGCCGCCGGGGGGTCACGGGGAAGTGTGGCAGCATCGTTAAATAACGGCAGGGACGGGCGTGGGCTGCAGCCCCTGGCGCTGACCCTGGCGCCGGCGCCGTCTCCTGGTGCAGGTGGCAGGAGATGCAAATGCCCCCGCGCGGCCCCAAACCACCGGCCCGAAATAAACAGGGCTGCCGAATTTCTCGGCAGCGCAGGCCACAGCTTCCCCCTGCCATGGCAGCAAGCCCAGGTGGGGCCAGCCCAGGAGGAAGATGGGGACAGGGCTGCAGACACGTCCCGGCAGTGCTGGGTGCACGGTCAAGGACTCCCGTTCGCACTTGGGAGGTGGCAGCTCTCGGTGCAAAGGAGCCGCGTGCCGGTGTGTTAGGGGCACCGTGCAATGGAAGCAGCCGGCGGTGGGGAAATACACAGGGTGCAAACAGCAGAAAATACCTTGGCCTTCCTCCTCCTCCTGGTCATGCTCTGGCAGGCCCCAGCAGCAGATGGTGGCTGCTGCTCATCTGTAATTAACGGGGCGCCGCGCGGATAATCACACCGCGCGGCTGCCGCTCGCTGCAGGCCCGGCACGAGCGTCGGCGGCTGCAAGGTGCCACGCGACGCTCCCACCCGCATTCCCAGGCCATTCCCGGCATGGCCTTCCTAGGAAAACCCCTCTGGCTGGGCTCTTTTAGCAGGGAGGGAAGGGGGGTGGCTGTGCAAAGTGCCCCCCTCCCAGGGCTGCGTGTCCAGCCTAACTGTTTGCTGTGCCCTGGGGCTTCCCGAGCCGAGGATGCTCCTGTGCCAGGGATGCGACGCGGCAGCGCTCAGGCTCCGGGCACAGAGAAGGCCCCGGAGCCGCTCCGACCCACATGACTGCGGTGGCTTCCTCGGGGCGGCCGCGGGCGGGGAGGAGCAGCGAGGAGGCTGGTCGGGGCCGCGGCCGGGGAAGTGCAGCAGGAGGAAGTGCCGGCGGGCGAGCGGAGCGGGCCGGGCGGCCGTGGGGACGGGGGCATCGTGGAGCCGTGGCGCCTGGCTCTGCAGGCCCCGAGCTGCTGGCAGCGGCGCGGCGAGCGTGGGGAGGTGAGCGATTCCGCGGGAGCAGAACCAGTGAAGTCGGCTTCCCTGGCTGGCCGTGCGCATGGAGAGCATCCGCGCACTCTGCGGCTCCTGGCAAAGCCCTGGTCCCGCCGGGATGCTGCCGTCACCATGAGAACCTGGCCACGGCCGCCCCTCGCCCGCTGGGACGCTTTGGTGCCACTTGCCCTTCCTCGCCTCTCCATCCTCACCCTCGTGCTCGGGGGGCGCCGCTGAGCCCGGCGCAGGGCCCGTGCCGGGCTGCGTCCCGGGGCTGCCCGCAGGATGGCGACGACAACCTGGTACCACCGCGACATCAGCCGGGTGGTGGCGGAGGATCTGCTGGCCAAGGCCGGCAAGGACGGCTGCTTCCTGGGGCGGG